GTCTAAAATCTGGTCACTGGTTCACTTTTAATATTGCATTTAATGCATGGCCAGCACACACTACACACTACCCAGCACACACTACCGCCCAGCAATGCATTCTAGGTTTGCTGCATTGCCATTTATTCTAAATGGCACCCTACTTACCACCTGGCCGTTTGTTGCAGCACTGCAATGCATTACCTTGTGTTGCCCTGCAGCAAAAAAAGTTAATGCATGCACTACTTTTTACCACCGCAGGACATTGCATATTAATGCAGTACTGTGTGTTGCAGCGCAGACCAACTGGGAGATATTGGGGGTGCCATTCAGGATGAATATCATTACAACAGCATGTGTATTATGTGATAGCGTGTGTAATTAGTGCAACGCTATGGTGTGTTTGTCCATAGACTGGTAGATGTTTATTTGACATTGACAGACTCTGAGATTTTTGCACATGCTCGCTCACATCATGGAAGTGCCAGGCTGATTTAAAGTGACACTACACTCAGGAATTAAATCTTAAAAATACATTCAAGCACCTTAACTAGTAACAAAAATGTATCTTATTTGTGTATCACTCAGCTGTAGATCCTCAAATCATCTCTGAATTGACGCTGACACTGTCCTTCCTTCTGGAGGGGGGCTACTTTTGTACCCCATGGACCCTACGTGTGTTGTAAAGTAATCACAGCTCCAAGCTCACTCCTGTGATGGACTACAAGCACACGTTTAGTTTACTAATTTGTATTGAGATTGTAGTCCATCACAGGAGTGAGCTTGGAGTATCCTCCCCCTGCAACCAGGAAGTAGAGGGAACGGAGGGTCACTGCGGGGACGAGCGTCTCGAACGCCGGTATGTGTTCGCTCACCTCCTGATCTACTGAGCCGACCTGTGACAGTTACAGGTCGGCTAGAACTATGAGGTGAGTGAAAAGCACTCACCTCATAGTTCTCCTTTAACTCCGGAGTTTATTGTCACTTTTAACAAGGCAATGCAAAAAGTTGTGGTGTGCAGAAACAGGACCTCACCTTTAATCATTATAGAGTAGTCACTCCAAAAGGAGAATGATGATCACATGATGTGGGGTACTACTCTTTGACTTTTAGTTTTAATATACTGTATAGTAAACTCTCTGTTATCCGGTATTCAATTAACTAAAATTCTCATCTAACCAGAAAGAAAAAATCCCCTGTGTACTCACTGTTCTGCTGATCTGCGGTATGTATTATGCTGGAGACGATCGTGTGTCTATTTGTCTTAATTTGCTTTTGATTACTGCATTTCAATATCAATATGAAGTCAATACAGAGTCTATGTTATGGTATGGTATTAGTGTGGGGTATAGTATGGGGTGTAGTATGGAGTATAGTATGGGGTATAGTATGGGGTATAGTTTGGGGTATAGTTTGGGGTGTAGTATGGGGTATAGTGTGGGGTATAGTATGGCTTATAGTATGGGGTATAGTATGGCTTATAGTATGGGGTATAGTATGGCTTATAGTATGGGGTGTAGTATGGGGTATAGTGTGGGGTATAGTAAGGGGTATAGTATGGGGTATAGTGTGGGGTATAGTGTGGGGTATAGTATGGCTTATAGTATGGGGTGTAGTATGGCTTATAGTATGGGGTGTAGTATGGTGTATAGTGTGGGGTATAGTGTGGGGTATAGTGTGGTGTATAGTGTGGGGTATAGTAAGGGGTATAGTAAGGGGTATAGTATGGGGTATAGTGTGGGGTATAGTATGGGGTATGGCACTAGTTTTAATAGTAACTCTCAAGTAACCAGAAACAACATTTATCCGGAATCTACCACCCCCCCGTAGATGCCGGATAACAGGGAGTTTACTGTCATATTCTTCTAAATAGTCTAATATGTGGCTGTTGAAATGTATGAAGATCTATTGTCAGCGGGAGCTGCTGTACTTTGATTAAAGGCTGAATGGTGCGAGTGTCACATTTACATCCCGCGGGCACAGCACAAAACACTGTTTAGTGTCAGCAGAAAGTGGCTTCCACATACAAACACCCCGGAGACAAAACAAATGCTGAGTCAGGTGGTCCTGCTGACAAATACAAAGACTTTACAATAACTGGATGTGTCAAACGCTGCAGATCTCCATTCCTTAGAAAGTATTAACAGAAGAAATATGATCAATAACCCCCCTCACCCCCCCTAAACATTAACTAGAAAAGGAGGAAAAATGTCAACGTATAAAACCTAAAGCAGGCCTCAAAATTTCCACTCGCCTGCTCGCATTTGGCGAGGGGAAATGCAGTGCAGGCGAGTGGAAATTCAGTCAGGCACGTGGTCACGGACCACGTACCTGATTATGAGAGCAGCTGTTCCTTGCTGTCCTGGCTCCGTTCCTTTCGGCCGGAGATCTGACAGTTCTGAGCTCTGGTGGGGCAACTGGTGGCGAGTAACTCTTAAGGCCTGGCTAGTAACTCAGGACTTGAAATTTTGAGCCCTGACCTAAAGTGTATCCAAACTCAAAATCAGATATGTTATATATTGCAGCTTATCAATCCTCAGGTCCCATTCACACCGGGGTGTATTGTCAACATGTACAAAAGTGCGTGGTTGGACGCACATTCACAATACGTGCACAAACACAGAACACGCTTGCATTGCCATTACTAGGTAATGGTACCCCAAACATGGCTGACCAAAGCGGCATGAACCTGCAGGAAAAAAAACAAGGGGAATTTATCAAAACTGGGGCAGACAAACTCTGGAGCAGCCATGCACGGCAACCAATCAGCATCTCTCTCTCATTTTCAGATCTCAACTGAACAAACTGAAGAGGGAAGCTGATTGGTTGCCCTGGGCAACTGCTCCAGATTTTCTCTGCTCCAGTTTTGATAAATTCTCAAGATTTATGTCACATTATGTACTACTATTCCATGTTTGGAGCACATCCAGGATGCGCGCCGAACGCAGGAAACAAAGTCCTGCTAACGCGTGGGTACGTGCGTTCTCGCGATGCGCATTGATGCTACGCCCTGCTGTAAATGGGGCCTTAGATGTGGTGCCTGCATTAGTTTTTTTTATTTCCTTTATTATCACCTGGTGATCAGGCCAGTCAGTCGCCATTCCCACATAGACGTGTTGGGAATGCACGTTCATGAATGTCGTTATTGCAGAGCTTAATGAAGGGGACCCTGCGCGGCCCCCGAAAGCGCTAGTTTTAAAGACATGACGTTTTATATAAACGATCACTTCAGACTTCAAAACTTTATGGGGTGCTGGTGACATCTATCAACTAACCTTGTCTGGCGGCACTATCTGCAGTCATTACAAGCACCTCCCCTCCTCTCTGGATTGGGGATCCCCGGTAAGGAATGCAACAAGGCAACTCTACTTCTGTTCATGAATGTGCACCGAATGCACAATGCGCTTCTGGTGCCAGTACTACTTAATGGGCTCCCAAATGCATCTGAGCAAACGTGCTTTTTTCCCCCCGTGCATTCACACACATTCAAATGCGCAGTTAAAAAAAGTGGAACGCGTGTCGCAGAATTAGAAACATTCGCGACTTCTCTCGCCTTTGGTGCACGTTTGGCACCTCCGTTTGTAAGTAGGGGTCATATGTAAGTCGGATGTTTGTAGCTCGGGGACCGCATGCACCTCTGTTTGCATTTAGTGATGTATTATTGAATAAAAAACTGCATTCATTTTGTTCCTTTATATCTGCCTAGCGTTCAACTTTAACAGAAACCTTTCTTGAGAGAAAAAAGGGCTCTGCCATTGCTGCTTTCTAATTCCGCAAATGCTAGTTGCCTGGCCATCATGCTGACTCTTCGGCCTCAGTATTTTGTGTCACTTCCCGGACTATGCATGCAAATGAGCACCTCTGCTGGACGCATAACTTCCAGGCCATCTAGTATTCTGAGTAGGAGGTCAGCAATGTCTGCTTTCCTTAGGCTTGCTGCTCCCCCCTCCATAGTGACACCCCGCACTCACAGTATGCAGGGATCCCAACCTGAAAAAAGCAATTTCAGGGAGGTGCCCTTCTCATTTCAGGGAGGTGCCCTCTGCCCCCCTGAAATGATGGCAGAAAGCAAAGAAGCTATTGCTTCCTGTGCTATCTGCAGGATTTTTTTGTATTCTGACAGCTGCTGCCATCAGAATAATAAATAAAAAAAAAACCCAGCATAGGAATGCATAGCTAGATTGCTATTGGCTATTTCAATTTGCAATATCCAATAGCAAGCTGGCTATTGCACCCGCCCTCTGCTGCTGTCAATCACTAGAAGAGGACCTGATGGAGAACTTCAGGTCCCCCTCTGCTGATTGACAGCAGCAGTGGGCGGGTGCAATAGCTAGTTTGCTATTGCAAAGTGAAATAGCCAATAGGAATCTAGCTATACATTCCTATGGTGTTTTATTCTGACTGATGGCGGCTCCGATGTCAGAAAAAAAAAAAAAGTGCAGGGAAAGGTTTACTCTGCTCGATCGGCCGGGAGCCGCTATCTAATAGCGGGAGACTCCTGGAGCGTCCGGAAAGGTTGGGATGTCTGAGTATGTACTCAGCCTGAAGTGTTTATTTACAGTGCAACTTTAATTATTATTCCCTGCACTGCACAGAGGATTAATGGTGGACACGACATGTCACATACATGCAGTGTCAGAACATGTAAACACGTGATCACACACACACTGTTCATGTTCTTCCTCTGTGTACACCTAACCCTTAAGTTCGTTGAACACACATCCCATAAGGCCCCGCCTCTCGCGACGTTATCATATCGCTCTGTCCCGAGCTCAGCCGATCTCAGATCGTCTAGCTTCGGAACTGCGCAAGCGCCGTGTAATTTCAGCAGCCGAGGGGACATTTTTAGTGCTCCCGTCCGCAGACAATTACGGAGGGCAGCAAAACGCCTTTGTTAACGAACTGTTAGTAACCCTGACCAGTAGTTCTACGTATTTGAAATCTCCATTTTGCAATAAAGTTTCATACTAAAAAAAAAAAATCTAGCACACACGTCATTGAGAAGTTGGATTTTGTGGCCCTGCGTGCTGTAGGGACTCCCAACCCTACCAGGTACATGGAGCGCAGCCGCTAATCGAGCTCAGGCTTCGGCCTTGAGTGTAGGCCTCAGTGCGGAGATCTCGGGGCTCCCCTTCCTGCTGTGCCCGGCTTCCGACTACGGGACAAGCCGAGGCCTCCTGTACATTAGTGCCTATACTGAGTGGGAGCCCGGGCCCAGCCTGCTATTTTTAGGATATGACTTTACAATGGGATTGGACAAAATAACTCAGGGTGCTGAGGAACTACAGAGCCCAGCGTGCAGCATTGGCCCAGAGGGGGTTGTAGTACCTCTGTGGCTGAAGCTCACTGACTCTTAACTCCCGGTCACTGCAGATCTGAATGTCCTGGTGGTTTTGAGAATTTCATCCTGGTAGCAAAACAGTCTTCAGTGTAGCAGATTTATGAGTATAGATTGAGGGAAGCTGACTCTGCTGCAGGACTACATGGGCTGGTGGAAGCTCTGCCGTAGAGTAGCATGCATGCTGGGAGTTGTAGTTACCCAGTATTTAGAGGTAACTTCCTGTTACAGGTCATCTGACTGTCCTAGTGGTTTTCAGAATGGTATCCTCATTGGAAAAGGGTCTTCGGTGTATTAGGTTGTTATTATATAGACCTGGGGAAAGCTGATGAACTACATAGGCCTGAGTGCAGCACTGGATTAGAGGAGCATGCTGGTAATTCTAGTGCCACTGAACCTAATGCGAACTGATTCTAACTCCCTGTTATAGGTGTTCTGAGTGTCCTAGTACTTTCCAGAATTATATCTGGATGGGAAGTGTGTCCATAAGTGTATTAGATTTATTATTTAGTAAAGATTAGGGGAAGATGACTGCTGCAGGACTACATGGTCCAGCAGCACTGGGTTAGAGGAGCATGCATGCTGGTAATTGTAGTGCCCCACATTTAAAGGTAACTTCTTGTTAAAGGTGGTCTGACTGTCCTAGTGGTTTTCAGAATGGTATCCTCATTGGAAAGGGGTCTTTGGTGTTTTAGGTTGTTATTATAGAGGCCTGGGCAAAGCTGGTTAAAAACTACATGGACTGGAGTGCAGCACTGTCTTAGAGGACCATGCATGCTGGTAGTTGTAGTGCCACATTACTAGTTACTGATTCTAACACCCTCTTGTAGGTGTTCTACGTGTCCTAGTGGTTTTCAGAATTATATCCGAGAGGGAAAACGGTCTTCAGTGTAGTAGATTTAAATATTAGTATAGACCTGGAGAAAGGTTACTGGACTGGAGGACTACAAAGTCCAGCATGCAGCATTGACTTAGATATGCATACTGATTATTGCATTGCCACAGTACTAAATGCTCACTGAACCCAGCTTCCTTGGTACAGGTGATGTGAGTGTCCTGGTGGGAAGAATCATCAGGATATCTGGTGAAGTTTATTGCATGCTGCTGAGGAAAGCTGACTCTGCACTAGGACTACATGGTCCAGCATATGCAGCACTGGCTTAGAGGAGAAGTCATGCTGGTAACTGTAGTGCAACAGTACTTAATGCTCTCTGGTATTAACTCCATTACACATGATCTGAGTGTCCTAGTGCTTTTTATTATTTTATCTTGGTGGAAAAGATTCTTTAATGTAATGGGTTTAATTATTAGTATCAACCTGGGGAAAGCTGATTCTGCTGTTGGACTACATAGTCCAGCGTGCACCGCTAGCTTACAGGAGCATGCATACTTGTGGTTGTAGTGCCATGCATGTAATGCTGTTAATGGTAGAAAGTCACTCGCACTCCAGAAACCTTTGTAGTCAATCTTCTTTATTGACCATCAAAGTGTCACATAAGTAGGGATGCACAGATACTTTTCGAGTACCAGTGCAGATACTTGCCATTTTCATGAGAACTACCAGGGTTGCAGCTGGAACCGGGCTCTGGCACTCCACCACTGTACTGAAATCATTAGTCTGTATTGTTTTAGAAAAACTGTCACATGACAATAAACAAAAATGTATCAGTACTCGTACTTGGAAGTACTCGGCAAGTACCAGTACTCGTACTCGCAAAACTGGTATCTGCATCCCATTATATTTATAAAAACATAATCGTACATTAAAACAGAGATGTACAAATCCCAGGAGCTCCGTGTGCTCCCTACAAATGACAGCTGCCTCCTAATTTTTGAATTTTTCTCTAGTCTAGTCTTGGAGCTCAAAAGTATCGGTACTTGTACTCGTACTTGTACCGAGTACTGTACTTGGTATCTGTGCAACCCTACACATAAGTATAGCGACGTTTCCAGACCGTCTGGTCTCTTCAGGCAAAACAACAGTTTGAATATGTGTAATGCTCACTCCCTGTTGGTTGAGCTGAATGTTCGCTTAGTGGATTTCATATGTTTTTCCTGGTGGGAAGAGAGTCTTCAGTGTATTTGGTTAGATTATTAGTGTAGACTTGGGGAAAGCTGATTCTCCTGGACAACTAGATGGTCCAGCATGCAGCAGCGGCATAGAGTAACATGTATTCTGGTAATTGTGGTATCGCCAGTACTTAACACTCACAGTACCTAACTCCCTGTTACAGATGGGCTGAGTGTCCCATTGATGTTTAAAATTTGACCCTGGTGCAAAACAGTCTTCAGTGTATTAGGTTAGGTTATAGGTAAAAACCTGGGGAAGGCTGAGTCTTATGGAGATCTTCATGGTCTAGTGTTTAGATTAGCATGCTGCTAATCGTAGTGCCACAGTACTTAATGATCATGGAACTGAAGTCCCTGTTACTGAGTGTCCTAGTGCTTTCCAGCATACAGCATTGATTTAAGCTGGGTATACACGGTTATATTTTCTTTGTTCAGCCTGTGGACTGAATGAAGAAGATATAACAGATTCCTCCATCCATGCTAAGGAGCATGGATGGAGGAATATTCTGCGGTTTTCATTGTATTCTGACAGTGCCTGCTGTCAGAATATGTGATTGGAGCCTGCAGCTAATTGGCTGCTAGCTCTGTTTGGCTGAGAATGTTCTACCCTGCTCCTTCGATCAGCTGATCGAGTAATGCTGGCTGGAAGGGTACCAACAGTGGCACCCACTGTGAATTTTGATAAGTGTATACCCTACAGGTATTCATCAACTGCACCACAAGCTTCTCATTATACCGGTCAGCTTCTCTGTCCCACTGCTATGTCTGGTGGATTGTGGTCTTAAATGCCAGTAAATGTTGCAGTCTAGGTCTGCGGCAATGTAGAGTTTTGCTAAAACTTTAGTTACTGGAGATCTGCTAAGCCCAGCATGCACAGTTGTCCGAAGACAGTTATGGTCCACCCACAAAGTTTAGGGGCCCTCAATTGTGGCCCTTGACGTCACCATTTGCACATATATTCATTATATGTAATGCTACAAAGACTCAAAAACTGGAAACCCTTCAGGAGACAGACAATGGTTGTGCTGCCAGAGTGGATAGTGGCTGGAAAAATGCTGCAGCAGACAGAGACTGGGAACTTATTACTTGAGACTGCTAGAGATCACTGACAACACAGCTCCTTTACAAGACGGTGATGCCAGTACTGACTTGCTAGGGTTCAAGGACCACACAACAAGTATCAAAGGGCATCATGGACCCTAGCAATCAGTACTGGGAATAGGAGGATGGTAGATGCTGGCAATTGACAGTTAATACACCTCCGGTTTCTGATATTTTCATTTAGAGATCCTGTGTATTTCACCAACATGCCCTTCAGTATAGTTTGCAATGTATAAAAGTGTCATGTATTGGTATAGTGATATACGCAGGTAAAGTTGCTGGAAAAAAAACAGTCCAGCATGCAACATTGGGTTAGAGGAGAATGCCTGCTGGTAACTGTAGCACTCCAGTATTTGATGCTTGCTAAAACTATCTGCTGGATGCTGGACAATCTGACATTTTAAAATGTTATCTTCAGGTTTTACTGTAGGCATGGGAAAAGCCGATTCTGCAGGAAAGCTAAATAGTCTAGTAATGACATACAGGGTGCTTGCTGGTAATTGTAGTACCTTGGTAGTTCTTACTCACTGAACTTTACTTCCTGTTACAGGGTGATCTGAGTGTCTTGGTGTTTTCCAGGTTATTATCATGGGGGAGTGGGGAGCATCTTTAGTGCATTAGATGAAATGATTTTTAAAAAAACCTGGGGAAAGTGGATTGTGGAGAACTGCATGGTCCAGCATGCAGCCTTGGCTTTGGTAGGCACCATTAGCACTTCTTGCTTCCCTACTCTAGCTGTCAGTTTATGTATCTCACTGGCAGAGAACTAGCATTCTCAAAAAGAGAGGCGAGCAGTAGGGACCTCCATTTTCAGTTATGACAGATTCCCTCTAAGGTAGTATTATCTGCATTGATTTAGTAGGGGATTTTCTGCACAGTAGAGTGTCAGGTTAATTTCGAGCTTTTGTATACAGACATGTATGTTTTGCTTTTGACTTTTGTGGAGCATATGTGAAGGATCTGGAATGCACTTAATCCCAATTTAAATTGTTGACACTGGTCAATGAAAACACTTGTAAAGCAATCAATTTTCTTCTGGAAATTCCTAAAAGCTGCTTTCTCGTGGTTGCATTGGGCTTCTGAATTACAAATCTGCAGATGCTTATCCAGAATGAAGGTAGCCATACAATTCCTGCTGAATCTGCCGACATTTAAGTTGTGTATGGCCTTGTCGGTGACAGTTTTCCACCTGGCACTTTTGGTTCTATAATCAGTTTGCCGAGCCGGGTGCAAAATTGTTGGCCTAATAGTGATGGCACCAGATGTAGTCACGTTTGGGGTATTTAGACGGCTTTTGGTGCCGGCTGTCTGAATTCTGTAGTTGGCAGGGGAGATTCCTCCATCCATGCTGTGTTGCATGGATGGGGAAATTGAGCAGGGCTGAACAAGAGAACTTGTAGCATGTATGGCTATCTGATGGTAAACAGTGTCTCAATGCAGTAACATGTAGCAGTCAAGCATTCCTTTGACCCAAGTATGCTTAGGGGAACAGGTGCACTTTAACACCCCTTCTGTTCCCATCCCTCACTCCCCCCTAGTTTATTTGGCTGCAGGTAACAAGGAAAATACCTTGTTCTTCCAGCTGTTGGAGTTGCATATGACTCACTAAGTGCAGCTGTGCTAGGACCATCACAAAGCACTGTCACATGAGGAATGCCAATATACATTTGTAATTTATGAGTTAAGGCACTAATAGCTTACACACACGGAGGCTTCTCCCTGCTCCTGGCAGCAGCAAAACAGAGCTGCAGAGAAGTGAAGGAAAGGTGAGCAAGTGCTTCCGGGGAGGGAGATTTGCTTTATCGTGCAAAGCACAGGTCCACTTTAGATCTGGGATTCTGCACTTGGCACATTATTTATGTTAGCAGTCTTGCTAGACAAGCCCATTTATCTGCCACTGTTATAAAGTAAAAATGCCAATGCAACCATACCAGATTTTCACCTTCTGAACCAGAAAATGTTATAATCTAATTGGTTAATGTGTTTTTTTAAAATGAAGGTGGTATAGGCCAGCAGTTTCAGCTTCTCTATAGTTTTACAGGCAACGTGTGTCTGGCTTTAGGAGTATTGCCGGTTTCTGTACAGAAGGCATTAGTGATGGTGTCTCTGTGATGGGCAGCCTCTTATCTCCTTCTACTCACCTTGCCTTTGTTTCCTTGCTGCTGCTTCCTGTGTTGCAGATGGCGACACTACCTGGCGACTGTGGGTATGGAGTAGCAAGTGACTTTTTCTAGCAGCCATTTGCTAAACCCAAGCACTGTCAGTTGACTGATGGAGTCATGACATTGATCTTCCGGGTTTCTAACCTTGGTTTCAGCCCCAGCTGCAATAGAAAAAAAACAAAACATGGAGGCAAGGGGGGTCTAAACACCTGGTCTTGAAGTGGTTAAATTGCATTCTTTCCCCAGAAGTTAAGATTTTTTTGTTTTCACAGAATCAGGTAACAGGACAACAATCAATCTACTTATGGTACCTTGTATCTCTTGCTGCCTTTTTAAGCAGCTAATACTAGTCCCAATAATAAGAAGTCCCAATTCTGTTTGGCCATAGATATACCATGCATATAGATTCAGTTTTTTTTTATATTGGGTGATGAAGTATATCCTTTCCTAGTTTTGTAATGGAACTTTAGCACTCATTTAATAATGTAGGGTCTACTACTTTTATATACAAAATTCACATTTGTTAAAGCCAATGAAAAAACAACCACCCTTTTTTTTTTTTATGGAATGCCTTTCCACAGATTTACAAAAAATGATTGCAGGTCCATACGTATGTACTTTAGTTATTGGGTTAGAGCTTTACATTGCACTCACTACAAACATTTACAATAAGTAATTGGGGAGGTCTGGCCATGATATAATCACATGTGCAGTCTCCCGTATTGGCATTTGAATTTCTTTAGTTCTAGATCTGTCTTTGTTTAAATATAAATTCCGGAGCAGTACATTGATGCGACTTATCATATTATATACAGACTGCCTGTGATTGTAATGACAGCTTTATGCAGAATTCTGGAGGGGGCAGTAAGCCAGCTACAGGAGCAGGAGAACTGGGATTTCATGATGGCTGTACTTCTGTTTCCAAAGGAAAGAAATTAGATTTTTTATGCAAATGGAAATTAAAATGTACATGTTGATGGTGAATTTCATGATGACGGATGTAACAAATCATTTTTCCAGCCTACACTTACTCTGTGGGCATGGGGTAAATGATCAATGCTATTGATAATGATTTGGAATATGTGACAGTTGCACCTTCACCATTTATTATACAGACTTTTGTGCCTTGTAGAAATGAGAATCAACTTGGTATCCTGTTTTACAGTGTAATTTTCAAGCGCTTATTGTGTTTTCTTTTCAGAGTCTTAAATATTCATCAAAGGGACACCCAAGCAGTGGTGATCACCGTCATGACAAAATGCGAGACTCTGCAGATCCATCTCCACCAAACAAGATGCGAAGATCAGACAGCCCTGAGAAATATGCTGACAGTGTTGGACATGGGAAGGCCAAGAGTATGCATATCCACAGGGTCCGAGAGAGGGATGGAGGTAGGTAGCACTCTCCAACCAAAATGGATCATTTCACAGATTTTATTAAATAATGTCTCTGTTCAGAACAAATTGATATGTCCCTTGCCATGTCCTTTCCCAAAAGTGGTATAGGTGGGGTCTCCCTTCATGATCACCAACTGAGCAATCACAGTGTTGTAATAAACAGGATCATTTGCATCTCCTTAGCTGTATACAGTCAGTTTCTCTGAGGAAGCTCTAACCACAGGGGATCCATTTAATTATGCTTTCTGCTCTACACAGATGTCTGAGAAAAGTAGCATGCCAAACACAGGCAGGAATTTAGGCTTCTGGAGGAGTTCTGTACTAGCACTCTGTATGGAACGCCCCTAGTTAAGTATGATTTAAACAAATGCAACATTTTAAATTTTCAACAAAAAACACAGTGGCTCTAGATTTTAATATGGAATTTTAACAATATTGAATTGCAAAAACACACATGGAGCATTCATATTTATTTAGCTGCAGAGTTCTCATTATAGCCCCACTCACTCTGGCAGTCTTTCACCATTCTGTGCAACCAGCAGCTTCCCTTTGACGGTCGCAGACTTTCTGACGTCATCACATACAATGCAGGTCCAGCAGTCCAATATTGTGTGCGAGAAGATTAAGAGCCCGCTCCTATTCCTGAACAGCGGAGGAAAGAGGACAGTGCTGGCTGCCATGGGAGTAAGGGGTTAATTAAGCATTACACTTTATTCCTCTACCACTTGATTTAAAAAAAAAAAATATTATTCCAATATAGGAGTTCAGCTTTAAAGTTGTGTGGCTGCCTAACTAACGTGACTCTGTTTTAGATAATATTTATTTACATATAATTACACTATATTGCCAAAAGTATCGGGACGCCTGCCTTTACACGCACATGAACTTTAATGGCATCCCAGTCTTAGTCCGTAGGGTTCAATATTGAGTTGGCCCACCCTTTGCCGCTATAACAGCTTCAACTCTTCTGGGAAGGCGTCCACAAGGTTTAGGAGTGTGTCTATGGGAATGTTTGACCATTCTTCCATAAACGCAGTTTTTAGGTCAGGTACTGATGTTGGACAAGAAGGCCGGGCTCGCAGGCTCGGCTCTAATTCATCCCAAAGGTGTTATCGGGCTGAGGTCAGTACTCTGGAATAGGAAGGGGCCATTCCCAAACTGTTCTCACAAAGTTGCGAGCATGAAATTGTCCAAAATGTCTTGGTATGCTGATGCCTTAAGAGTTCCCTTTACTGGAACTAAGGGGCCAAGCCCAACCCCTGAAAAACAACCCCGCTCCATAATCCCCCCTCCACCAAACTTTACAGTTGGCACAATGCAGTCAGGCAAGTACCGTTCTCCTGGCAACCGCCAAACCCAGACACGTCCATCGGATTGCCAGACAGAGAAGCGTGATTGGTCACTCCAGAGAACACGTCTCCACTTCTCTAGAGTCCAGTGGCGGCGTGCTTCACATCGCTGCATCCAACGCTTTGCATTGCACTTGGTGATGTAAGGCTTGGTTGCAGCTGCTCGGCCATGGAAACCCATTCCATGAAGCTCTCTATGCACTGTTGTTGTGCCAATCTGAAGGCCACATGAAGTTTGGAGGTCTGTAGCTATTGACTCTGCAAATAGTTGGTGACTTCTGTGCACTGTGCGCTTCAGCATGCGCTGGCCCCGCTCTGTCATTTTACGTGGCCTACCACTTCGTGGCTGAGTTGCGTTTGTTCCCAGTTTCTTCCACTTGTTATAATATCACTAACAGGTGACCGAGGAATATTTAGTAGCAAGGAAATTTCACGGAGGGACTTATTGCACAGGCGGCATTCAATCACAATACCACGCTTGAATTCACTGAGCTCCTGAGAGCGACCCATTCTTTCACAAATGTTTGTAGAAGCGTCTGCATGCTGAGGTGCGTGATTATTTACACCTGTGGCCATGGAGGTGATTTGGAGGGGTATCCCAATACCTTTTGGCAATATAGTGTATGTGTGTGTGTATATATAAATATGAGCAGTGAAAGTACCTGAACTAGACCTAGTGTCAGCCTCTTGAAGTCCCATATGCAGCAAAGCTCAGACTGGGAATGGAAGCAGCAGCAGCATAACCAGTCAACCAGTGGTGCTGCAGTGCTTATGTGCTAACAAGATGCATGCTGATTGGACAGAGCAGAGTTAGGGCGCCCACACACCTTACGATAATCGTGGGAAATCCCGCGATCGTACGATTATCGTAAGGTGTGTGGAAGCTGTGCGACCTCTACTACTGTAAGGTCGCACGACTTTTAACTTACGAACATGTTGGAAAACCCGCCGAGCATCGTACGATGTTCGGCGGGTATGTAGCATGTCCGTCAGATAAAAGTCGGATGTGCCGGTGTGCGCAAGCGCACACTGCTTGTTCGGCATTGCAGTCATCGGAAGCCCGCCCCTCAGGGGGGCGTGGCTTGCGATCATCGCAAGTACTATCTGCCTATGCAAGATAGGCAGATCGTACGTTTTTTTAATTACCTTACAAACATCACAAGGCAAAAATCTTGCGATGGTTGTAAGGTGTGTGCGCCCAGCAATACAGAGATGAGCTCACCAATCTCTTGCTTCTCCTTTCACTGTCCAATCACTAGCGGGGGGAGTGACAAGGCATGTAATGTTTACTTAACTGCAGCAGGGACAACTTTAGCTCTCCTTTCCTGCCGGACAGGACTGTGCTGTGGGGCAGAGCTGTGTAAAAGCTCAAGAATGAATGGACAGAATTAAAAATCCTTTGGCAGGTACACATCTCACTTCTATGTATTTCACATATTTCTCGGTTTGCTTGGAGTTCAGAATTGAATACTTAAGATGTATTTTTTTTAATAGACTATATACATTCACCTGACCTTATTCGCCCTTAACTGCAACTTACCTCCTACCCCGCTAAAGCCAAGCCTTGCTCCCTCCTTAAACATTTAAACTGCAGATTATTAAACATCAGATATTAGTGGTAATATATAAAGTGATTTTTGATTGAACATTCATACTTTTTACATGCTTGCTGTGCCATATTTCCATATATTGTTGTGCTACATATACAGATGTGTGGGCTCTTTCCCTGTGCCTGTTAGTATTTCATTACATCCAGTCACTCTTATTGAGCAACAACTGTTGAGATAAAATGTCATTCACAACGGGAGGGCATTGTTTGCAATCAGTCAGACTTGACTTGACTTTCTTCTTCAGTAAGCAGAATAAGTATGCCTGAGCCATGTATCCTGTATTCACATGCAGAACTGGATACAATTCTAGGAGCCAGGGCACTGCATCTATGGGGGCAGAACTTTGCCTGCTGCAAATTACAAAGATATTAGGGTTCACTTTTGACCCTTATAAATGTGTGTGGCCGAGGAAAGGTCACAGGTCACCCAGGTGAATGTTCTTTGTTCTTTTTTTCACCTGGGATTTGTTTGTGATTTATCAACACTCGCACATCCACGGACTGATGCACATAGACTCCATATTTGTGTTTTTCACTAATATTTATAGTAAATGCCATAGTGATTGTATATGCACATGTAGGCCGGCATGTATAGTAACATAATCTATACTTTCATGCTGAAAAACCTCACCGTGTCCCACAGGAAATGTCATTTCACAGCTGTAGTGCTCTGTGTTGACTTTGCTGAGTAAGCAGTGAGCTTGGATCCTTGGCTGATCTCTTGTAGAACAGGGAACACTGCTTTGTCATTTACTTGGATTATCGTCTGACAGCCGTCATTGCAGCTTGTCTGTCTCTTGTCTTGTCCATGTGGTCTCTCTCACTACATAATCACAAGGGGGTGGGAGGAATAGAAACCCTGCTACTGCAGAAGTTGGTCCTCCCCTACTTAAGGGGCATTTCTAAACTGGCACAACAGATTGCTGCGACTAGAAAGATATGCCTGTGCCAGGAAGGCAAACATTTGTGGTGGTAGGGCCTCTCGGGCTTTTCAAAGGTGACATGTAAAACGGAAAGAAGCGCCCATCCTGTGAAATGCTGTTCCTTTATTAAGAAAATGTAAAAGAGCAAGGGGGTACTCACAAGCATGATAGTATAAAGTGTTTCCGATTGCAATCGGTATAGATTCATCCAGACAAGTCTCTCACAGTCCTCCGTGTGGTCACTGTGAGACTGTGAGAGACTTGCCTGGATGAATTGGCGCTTCTTTCTGTTTGTTTTACATGTCTGATGAGAGCGTTCCAATCTGAGGAGGAGCAGCACTCCTGTGACAGGCCGATTGGAAAATCATTTGTCAGCTGTTAAAGCCAGTGAAATTTGTATTTGTATTGTTTTCAAAGGTGACAATTTACACCAGCAGGTGCACATAACATGCCCCGGCTGGTGTGTTGTGCATGTGCACTGTAATGTGTTGCAGAGTGCTTCCACAATGCTAGTGGTTTTTTTTTTTCCTTTTTAAAACTTCAGCTGATTTAACTTATGTATTGTGATGCATTATAGCATGTCACAGTGTGCTGATTTGTGCAAAATGCAACATGTCCTCCTTTTTTTCTGATCACACTAACTTAGCACGTTTGTGTGAACTGAACTAATAGGAAATAAGGCAGATTTCCTTTTCTGTGCATTGACTGCCTTGGGAAACATGGCCCAACACAAACCCACCTCTCCTTCCTCTGGTATACCACCAAAGTGTTTGCAGGGGCCTATGAAGCGGCAGCACTGGAAAAATGCCAAATTGTATAAAACTCTGTGTACCCGCTGTGCTTCCATTATGGCAAACCGATAATGCTACATATCAAACAGGGAAGCAACCCAAGGCTGTCTTAGAAGCCATAGGCAATTGCAGAGTGCTCTGATGTCTGCAAATCTGGCTACCAGATCTCTGCAGTTTGTGCACAACTTTGTCCAATTCAAATGTGATCCAACATATTACTGAACAGGGTTTTTTGATATTTTTTTTAGTAGTTTTTCAAAACATCACTTTTATTATGATCTCAGTGTAAAATGCTAAAAACATTAGGAGGTCACGATTGAAA